GCAGGTGAAATACAAATCCTGCTTTATAGTACGTACTAGTTGAATAATACTCAGAGATCCTTTTCTGACAGTTATACACCATGATCACTATCGTGAAACATACTAAATTAACTAAAAATCGCGGGTTTCTCACGTGAAAGTATTGAGAAAAGCTATACTAGTTTCGAACTACAGAGGGGATCTTCCTCATGAGCAATCTGTGGTTTACTACTAGTAGAGTTTTTCTCAGTACTTTACAGTATTACAGTAACATTATATTATTCTATAAAACCTGACACTCCTGAATCATCCTAAATGGTATGGTGTCACTAGTGTAGCTAAGCTAATTTGTGAGACCCGTCTGAAGTAATTACTTGTATCTGCAGCCACTCTTTGCTAATTTGCAGACGTTTTAGCGAACACTTTCGTGTTGATATCTTCATACTCATTAACTCCTGTCACTTGTCTCTCATTTTTCTGTTAATTCTTTTAATTTTTTCAACATGTGTATGTGAATTTGTATGTTTGTAAACGCACCCACGACACTGGAGAAAATCTAAGTGTTTTAAAAAAAAAGAAAAACGATTTTTTTAACAGTTCAAGTCGATTTAACATATTTTTCTCAGTTAAAGCTTATTTTCCTTTAGCGTTGAAATTGATTTTAAAATTAAGGTCTTATACCAATGTTTCTCATATTTTACCTCAGTTTCAGGCAGGCCTTAAAAAACACTCACCCGAAAGTTTCTGTACTGTATCTAACTTGTTTTCAGACTTAAAATCGAAAGTAATTAATTTTTAGTGTACGATTTGAATCATAATATTATTTTGTGAACTTATAGCATTTACAATTGAGTACGTTATTGACGAGCGAGAGCTATTTACTAATATACTTAAATACCATTTCACTGCATACTTTAAATGCAATTGTAAATTAACTGCCTCGTTGGCCGAGTGGTCGCAAGTGCGGCAAGGGGTCTCGGGTTCGATACCCGGGTCAGGCAAAGTATTACAGGGTTTTTAAAAAATCTCAGTAATAGTAGATTAGAGTCTGGAAATGTGCCCGGTATATGGCAATAGGCTCACCCCCTATTACATGGGACTCATAACATAAATAGTGAAAAGTGGGTGTTACATTGTACAGTCGCATTAAGTGCCAAAATGTGCACCTCTGCCTACCCCTTCGGGGATAAAAAGGCGTAATGTTATGTATGTTATGTTATGTAAATTGTATAATAATTTTGTGTTTTTGAAAGCTTTTTACTGAAAGCGATTCAAATCGATGGTAAAATGTACTACATTTGTGTAGGTA